CCGCGCGCTGCCCCGCCTGCGGCCGCCGCCTCGTGTACCGCGGGCTGGAGCAGGCGCCAGTCAGCGTTCCCAGCCCCTTCGTCAACGGGCACGCGCGGCGCTGCGCCTTCCTGCTGCGGCCCACGGCCGGCGCCTTCCTGGGGTACGGCCGCGCTCCGCCGCTCGGGCCTTTCTCAGGCGTGCGTCCCGCCCGGTCCCCAGTTCGGGTCTTGCTGCACTTTGTCGTCTGTAAAACAGTTGGTGCGAAATGTCGCTTGGGCACAGCCCCTGAGCTGACAGAATGGGTGCGGGGTGTGTAGCGACCTGCGTACCTGGCCCGTTTGTCTCCTTAGTGGACGAGAAGTGCGAGCATATACTGTATGCGCGCACAGACTGCTGTTAAAAGCTGAGTTTTCATTGAAGTTCTTGTCCTGTGGGTTTGTGGTAAGAGAGGGGAAATCTGGGCATTAATTTTTCATCCTTGGAGCTCCCATACAGCGTGGCCTGTCCTTCCCAGCCCGTTGCGGTCTCCCTCCCGTTGCCCTGTGCCCTGCTGTGCTGTTGTTCTCGTCCAGCAGGGGGGTATTTGGGGTGAATAGAAAATGACACTCGTACAAAATCTAAACAGCCATTTCTGGAAATTAAAAATTTCATCTGATATGTGTAATGATGTCTGCATCCATGCTCCCTCACTTCTAGTCTCAGCTGGAGTCAAAAGTACCAGCAATTGGGGAAGGAGACCTTTCAGAGTATTTTTAATGTGACTAAGCAGCCCCTGCATGAAGGTCTTTTCAGTCATAAAAACTTTATACCATTTTTCTTTCAGAGAGTATGATGGGAAATCTGATCTTCATGTTGGAATAACCAGTACTAATGGTAACAAGAGCTTTGTAATTAATCTCTCCTTAAATATGCAACATCTTTGTGTATCTCCAGTACATTTCTGGGATTTAAACTATATATACAAGTTTGTTTTCACTCCTCTCTACCTTCCTGATCTTCCTTGAGGGTGTTTCTCAACCCGTGGGTCATGACCCAAAAGTGGGTCACAAGAATATATGAAAGGGTCATGAACAAACTCTAAAAATGGATCCACATACTTAAATGGATTCTCCTTTAAAGGAGAAAAACATGAGGAACCATGGCTTTTCCCTTGCAGGCTGGCAGAGATCCAGCCTGCAAGGGGCTGCTTGGGCCCCTCCGCCCCACACATGGGATGGGGCAGCAGGTCGGGAGTAAGGGGCACTGGGTTGGGACTGGCCATTGATGTTTACAAATGGGTCCTGGTACAAAAAAAGATAAGAACAAGTGCTTTAGGGGTTAGGATTGAATAGCACTCATTTCAGAGCCAGCCAGTTCCATTCACTAATTGGATAGCTGCATGGTGTCTGAGATTTGCTGTTGAAAAACATCCTCTCCAAAGTTGGCTCTACTATTAGAGATCTACAGTGAAATCTGGGCTCTGCTAATGTCAAAGGCAATTGAGGTTGATAGTTTAAACACGGGATTCTGTCTGAACATCTCAGCACTGACCAGAGATAGCCCCAAACCAAAACCACCTATCATTATAATCCCAAACTTCTAAGATTCCAATAAAATGGAACTCATGTTGGAAACCAAACCCAGCCCTATTCTCAGGACAAAATGCTAACAAGGTAGGCAGCCTCTGAAAGACATACTAGAAAATGTTTGCTTTACAGTTATTTTTACTGCCACTTTAAATACATTTTCCTTAACAGGACATTATCAGATTATAACAACCTTTTTGATTATATCTGATAGAATTTTAAAAATCAAATTTAATGTGTTGTTCATCTTTTGCATTTTTCTCAGTCTAGACAATGAAAGTAGATTATCAGTTTCACTTTCCAACCCACTTTCACTGAATTATTTTGCACTAACAGAATGGGGCAACACTTGTGTTGCAGGTACGACACTGGATTGTTTATTTTGAAATTAAAAACTACTCGGCATGTTCTGAGAGCTTATTTTTTTTAAAAAAAAATAAATTTTGCTTGTCCCTTTAATCAACTGAGACTCAAATTACAACATCTAAGAACTTTCATAGTCAAGATTAGTTGTAGGACAGAATATGATGTTTTTGGTGGGGGAGGGAGGGAGAGGACAGTTTTACACACTTCGGTAACTGCTCTATTGCAATGAGGAGTAAGTACCATTATGGAAGGCAGCTGCTTCATCCTGTTAGCAGAACTGTAACTTTACTTCTAATTCTCCAGCTCTTGCTAATAAGATGTTGCTGTTTGTATTTCCAGGACTCGTATACAATTACAATGAAATGGGCATTCACAGAGTTGAATTTGGGTGGGAACAATGCATTAGTATCCCACTAGTACAGCCAGGCATGTATGGGCTGCTTCAACAGTGGGATAAGTACCTAGAAGAATTCTCTGCTGGAGAGGCCTGGCTTCCTCACAGGTATGTAAGTTCAGCAGATAACTTTAACAGGTCAAAGAGTTAATTCAGGATTGAATTGTACTAAGTTTGTGGTTCACTGCTGGTTTCATATACTTGGATCACATAGCAACAGTTTGTAAGGTCCTTTCAAACAATTAGCAGCTTGAAAATCTACAGCTTTGTTAAACAGTAATGTATTTTGAGGGTGTGGCCAAAGTAATAGATATGCCTGCTGGAACACAGAGCCCTTATATTAGAGCCAGTTGCTCCAACAACAGAAGAATTTTGTGCAGAAGCAATAAGATCCTCCTAAGTCAGGGCTCATGAAGTACCTGTGGTTAACTGTGGAAGCCCCAATTCTTCACAACTCTAGTCAAATCTACAGCTGGTGTGATTCAATTCTCTTGGGTACTCCTGGCTCCACAAGCTAAATTCCTGATCATGCTGAAATCTAAGAGTTTTGTATGCAGCATACATCTTGATGACTTATTCCATGTCAATGGTGAGGAATGGAAAAAATGCTCAATCTGACTTGCATCTAGTTCCAGCTGGCTTGTAATGCCATACTTTTTTTTCTGCCAAGTAAATGCATAAAGCCTCAAAACACATTTTGGGCAAATCTGGCATGGTCATCATCGTGGGGTCATTTCTCCTTTTAGCTTCCATTGAGGCTGATGCCAGATGCAGACATAACAAGAGATGTGGCCAGGCTGGAATATACACCACCACATCACTAAGTTTATTAATAAACTCACTGAGAAGACCAGTGCTTTACACATGCCTTGTATAAAGTGAATTTATGAAATAGCCTGCTTGGGCCCAATCATGTGGACTGCTGAAGTGAATGGGAGTTAGTTTTAAGCCCAACTTGAATCACTGTGTTTCTGGCTGATGTAGCCATGTATTTCAACACGCATAGTTTTCCCCATATTTTGATTGACGCCAAAAGGACTTGATTTATGATGGAATTCTCAAAGTGCCTGCCTGAGGAGCACAATTTCCACTGATTTTTAATAAAGTTGGCACTTGTTAAGTTTCCACCCTTACTTCCTGAAAATAATTTGATGTCAAACAGAATAATGGAGGGAAGAGGGTTAGGTATTTACATTTCCCCCCCAGAAAACTACTTCACAGCTTTCGCTGTATACTTCAAGAATATTTAATTCCAAGATACCCTGTTCATGAAAGCAAGTGATCAGCTTGCCCAAAACATGTTTGCACCTACTGTGAATGCACACTCAAACTAAGAGTAGCAGTTGGAGCTTTTCAGCTGTACAGGTTTAGTTACAATTTTTAGGATCATTTAGCTGGATTCTGTGGGTAAAAAAAAAAAAAATAATCAGGCATATAGTGAACCAGTTTTAATTCTGCATTCTGATCCTCATCAGACATCAGGGCAAGTCTGTTCTAGTTCTTTCTTTTGCCTCCCAGTTTTTAGAAGTGTACAGTCAAAGGCTTGACCTCAAGTTGAAGCAGATATATTCATCTGCTGACCAAAATGTTATTGTTCCTGGCCAAATTCAAGCTGTTAAGACTGGTGTGTAAAACCTCTGTAACATCTGGGTGAATTGTGAAAGTAGCTCTGATGGTTGTTCTACCTTGTCATTATTTGAATCAGAGCCGTGATGTGTATTTTGCTGCTCTGTCAAATTCTGTGCTGACTGCTGCAGTAACTATAAGCAGCTGGTTTTGTTTAAGATAGATAATGTTTGTAATTTATCTTCCTGATTCCAAAGAGAGCATTTCATTCTGTAGCCACTATATTTTATAACCTGACAGCTTAGTTCTGTCATAAACAGGCCCAGTTTAAGGGTTACAGTATGTTAAGATATCAGTCATAAAGGATCTTGGACTTCAACATAAAAAAAATCTGATTTTAGGCATCCTTTTCTAAGACCTGAAATGAAATCAGTTGTACTTCTAAACTGAAAATCAGATACAAAGATCCCAGGAATCATTGCTGCTGGCCTCATTGTTAGGAAGGCAGCAAGGGAAAAGTGAAAAATGTCTTCCAATGAGTAACTGTGATTTAAGAATCAACCCACTGGCTCTGAGCTTATTTTTTAAATAAGCCATGATTTCTCAGCTCTGCGTCTAAAGACCATAAAACACTTGCTAGAGAATCTCTTGTGTAGTGTTTTAGTAAAGTCCATATAGTTATTTTATTGCCTGAGAATGTAGAGGAGGCTGCAACATACTTACTCTAAATCTCTATTTATGTTTAATCTAAGTTAAGTTTTGTGCATAGGAGCACTGAATTATATCTTCATAGTTATTGGAAGAATGTGTAAAATTAGATACAATGGATTAAGTAAATTCATCCTGCTAACTTAAAAAAAATAAGTGCAGCTACAGTCGGTGGCAGCTGAGTTGGATCAATGAGACCTTCCAGCGGCACCTTAAATTATTGGCAGCTCTGTCTTTTCACCTGTACACTTGAATACTGAGCCATACTTCATACTTGGCGAAGGTAATTTGACAACATATTAGATAATGAGGAGATAGTTACAGGGTCATCTGTGTAATAAATAGAGTAATGGCAGACTAAAGTCTATAAAATTATGCTCAAGCAGTAAGGAGATCTTTTTTTTATTAGTTCTTGTTAGCTCTGTGATAATCCTGATTTACCAAAGCATTTAAGCGCACACTTTGCTGAACTGGCACTAAGCACATGAACCCTGACAATTCAAATATTTTAGCATTGGTGCAAGTCTCCAGTGAGAAACTGTAGAAGATTTTCCAGTTGTTTTGCAATGCAGTGATGACAGTTACTCTGGCATATGCTTACAATCACTTTAGAAAAACAGTTAGGTGTGATAAATGGAGTACACTCTGGCAATAGCATGCTTAGCAAATCAAAAATCATAGGTCACTATAAACATAATGAGCATAAAAGGAGAAAAGCTTTGAAGAGAATAGTGGAAGACTTTGAACAAGACTCAGTGTTCCATGTTACTGGTCTGCTGAAGACTGGACATTGCAAAAGTATTTTGTAAGTCCCCAGCATTTACATGGAACTCCTGCACATTCACAGATCTCTTTGCTAAGATATAGGTAGTGCAGCACACAACATGGAGATGTCAGCTATGCATAGGGAAGGAGAGCAGCCACAAGGTTAGGATGAGTAGATTCCTGTACAAGTAAGATGGTGGGAAGTGGTTATAGAGGCCTGTGCAGTGATATATCAAGACAAAATGGAGGAAGTCTGGGGCAGGATGGGAAAAGTTAGGTGGTGCTGTATGTGAAAGTAAGTTATTAAAATACATAATTATTGTGCAACATATAGGAGAATGTGGAAAACCTTACAAGATGAAAGAACAGGTGGCTACAGTTCGCTTCCACTTGGGCTGTATTTTACACACACACACAGCATAGTGCCCCACCTCCATATTATTATTTACTTAAGAGCATTTCTACTGGTTGGCCACATGTAGAATTTATTACCTTACGTTTCACAGGTAAAAAAATGATTCTTAGTTCACCAGCTGAATTAGCACTGCATTCAACACATGTCGGTGACATGTTTTTCATCACAGCTGTAGGAGATACCATTGTGGCTGAACAGGATACCCTTGACGCATATCAAATTAAGACGACATTGGTTTACAAAGTTAATTATTTTTTAAATCAGAATTTGTCATTGTGTGGTTTAGCATTTTGGTACCTGTATCTTGATACCCACAATATGCAACATCTCAGCATAGATAGGGAAGCTAATTATTTCAGGCATCACACACTTAAGTACCAGCATGAAGGGAATTTTACAACTTTTGAAGGGTATGTGCTTCTTCCTCTCATCTAAGAAATGATTACCTGCTTTACACATGCAATTATCATTTAAATAACCCAGTATCTTTTTCATAGGTATGATGAACATCACCACAATTGTTACACCTATGCACTGGCATTTATTAACTGCGTATTGGCTGCACAGGGAAAGCAACAAATGGACAAAAATGAATTCACAGAAAGATTTGTGATCCCACAGACAAGGAAAGCTTCCAAGTATATAACTCTTTACCAGGCGATAGCAGAAAACTGTTTCTACACTGTTGACATTTCTGATCAGGAAAAGAATGCTTGTGAGGAAGACAAATTGTTAAATTAAAAACCACCACAGAATTAAATACAAACAAAGCCAAAATATATATTCATGGCATGCTTGAAAACAGCTATGTCCTGCTGTATGTCTGAAAAAGATTAATTTGTATTATTTTAATGACACTAAGGTGTGTAATGAAGATGCTGTGGTCGTTACAAAATTTTAAACTCTGCAACTGCTTAATTTTCTGAAGCACATGGAAAAGCAAATATATTCCTGTGTGCATTCACCATACAGTACTTTGTTTTTTCAGGCAAAAGATCATAACTATAGTAATTTAAAGTAGCAAATTTAAACTTATAACTTTACTCGAAATCAATGTTATAGTATAACTCAAGGGTAGGTAGCATTTTGCTTGGCATGCGTACCTTGGGGGGGATGGTGGGGAGGGGGCCAGGGCTGTGCTGCCATAACATGGCTTGGGTTCCTCACAGCCCCCATGGTATCTGTCCCTGGCCTGCCAACATCTTATAAGTCAAGGTTGTGGGTGTTTTTGGCACTCTGCCCAAAAATATTGCTGACCCCTAGTATAAACTACACTTGCACATTAATGTGCGATAAAAAACAACAGTAAGACAGCACTGGGATTACTGGTCACACGCTCATTATCTTCTACATTGGTTGCAATGTGTAGTTTCTCAAGGGTAAACCACTGAAAAATTGAACCATATGGGATGCCAGATTATGACGAAAGTTTTGAAGTTACCAATAGGCAGCAGTATTTCTTCACTTCCTTTTGATAAAGCATTGTATTTTCTTGCATATACAGCGTGGCCCAGAGTAAGATACATAACTTGTTGTCAGGAAGGAATAATGTAAGGGAAAAAAAAAAGATTTTTCCAGAGTTATGTATGCACAGAGCAGAGGCAGAGCTAAAGAGTCTGAAAGGCTGTGAAACAGGAAAGAGACCAGCAATAGCTACCAGACAACAAAACTGCTAGAAGAAAGGTTAGCTTGATTGGTATAATATTTAGATCAGGGGTTTTCCATCTGCGGCCTGGCACCGGGCTGCAGTGAGTCAGCTGCCAGACTGGAAGTGGCTGCAGACCAGCAAACTGCGGCCCCCCAGAGCTCGGCAGAGAGGCTGCGGCTCCAGCCCGCAGCAGTGCAGGGTTTGGTCCACCCCCCTGCCCAGGGGATGGATGTATTCTTACCTGTCTTTCAGCCAGAAATTCTGGCTGTGGTCTGTTGTGACTGCTGGGCTGTGGTTTGCCAGGCTGCGGCATAAAAACTTTGGGAACCCCTGATTTAGACCATTAAAACTGAAAGACTACTGTTAATACTCGGAGAGTGAAGAACAATGGGCCATTAAGTCAACTGATTTCCCTCCACTGCCTGAAAAGAAAGCCACCGTTGCTGCAGGGCACTTGTATTTGGAACAGGTGCTAAAGCAGGATGGTTCTATCTTAAGCAGAAAAATTAGCTTCCTGCTTAAGAGGCACTCCAATCTGGGGAGGATGATTTTTGGAGAAAAAGGTGTGGTATGCAAGAAAATATGGTGTGTCTCATAACTTTATTGTACCTAGATATGTTGTTACTCAGGTTGTTTGTAATTGATTGTTGCAAAAATAAATGGCTGAAGTGAAACCAGGCTCCTTGCTTAATCTCTCTCTCTGTCTTTCTTAAAAGAATCTGGAAGGATGTACTGCTTTACCCAAAATGCTAGGGTACTGTATGTTAGCCAGAGGATTTTGTAGCCCAGAACTAGAAACACTCATCAAAATTTCCCCAAACAAGAAGTTAAACTATTTTAAAAATGATCCCAATATATGCACTACTGCAGAAACAGACTGACATATACTGTGGGCCAAATTCTAATTGCTGTCACTATTCTGGTGTTACATCCTGTAAAACTTCATGGGTATTCAGATATGCAACAGTATAACAGAACAGAGTTTGGCTTTATTTCCTGGTCTAAAAACAAACAAGCAAAACAAAACCAAAAATAAAACACACTCAGCTAAGATTAGCTTTTCCAAGGTTCAGCTGTTCTAATAAATGCTTCTAATGTATACCTTTGTACTTGGTATGCCATTTACATAAACACAACTTTCTTTTAATAGTTTAGCCTATGTATTCCATTCCTATCATCATTTTGGGAGGTATTTATGACATCACAATACAGAAAGATCACTAGATCTCACTAGAGTGAAATTCATCTTAGGCTACAAATCAGCAAAAACCATCTGTACCACTTACATTCTCCTTATGCCTTCAAATAGGATATAAATGGAGCAGAGGCCCTGCATGGGTGAACTGTACACCCCAAGATATTTCTGATTTGATCACAAGAACCTGTGTTTCTATGAACCAGAGTACACTTTATAAATAAAAAAGTAAATATGTGGTATCCCTAGTTATACGTTTCTGAAGGAGCTAATGTGAAGTCAAAGTACTGAAAATATTAAGTGTAGTTTGCCACTAGGAAAAGAAATCTTTTGATGTCTATTTTCTATAAATACCTTGACATTCAGCTTGAAGAGACCATTATCCAGCCACATTTTCACTTCTAATAAGAAACACTTTCGATAGAAAACACAAACAATAGAACGTTTTTCCTTTCTTGCATTTTCATGTATAATATAATCTACAATAATGACAGGGTGCCTTTTACTGCAAAGCTGCTAAACCAAGAGGAGACACAATAGAAGCATACTGAACCCAACAGTTTCCAGCAGACAGTTTCCAAAGGAGGCCTCTGTTACCAATTGGCACAATTTAAAGCAGTTTTAGAAATCTGTCAACAACATGGAAGAACCAGCTGAGCAGAAACATTGCAAATAGAATGCATTATCCCCTAAAACGTGGGTAAACTGCCTATCCAACTTATTGTCCACAACTTACAATATGCATAGTACCACCAAGGACAACCTGACCATGCCTATGATACCTTTGGGAAAAATTATATTAATTGCAAGTCATTGTAAAAACCATAAAGAGAATAAGTAATTCTACACACATTCTTTTAGCTTTACTGAACACACCATTATTTATACAACTGGGAAAGGACATTTCCTGTGTTATTTCTTTCTATAATTTTGAATACAAGTTAAAAGCAATCAGGGTATTGCTATATGGTTCAGGGCAGCAAGGTACAAGGACCTTTGAGCTAACGCTGCATGCCAGCTCTGGAACTCAAACTAGTATAGTCACATTACTGAAGCACTGTGCCAAGGCTAGTAATCCACAGAGATGCACCTTAAGGGGCTGAATTTAATATAGTTTGGGAACTCCTCTGCCACAAGTAACCAGAACCACCATAACTACAAGCTCTACAATCTAAGATACACATAATGCCTGTTATTGCAGTAGGGAGTGTCTCACAATCTTCCATGTATTCATCCTCACATCTTTATCAAGTAGGGTAGTGCTGTTATCAGTGTTATTATCATAATATATAAATAAAATATATTTGTATATTTTACGCGTGATTGCTTTTTTAACTCTAACAGTCATTAAAGTGCAAAAGCTGTCCTGGAGCAAGGCTGGAACTCAGGGCTCCTCCACTCCATCTCTCTGGCCCTACTAATCTTTAATTCTTTTCTGCACAGTGGCACAGCTTCACAGGAGTTCTGAAGAGTAACCCCCTTTAGTCTATACCCAGATGCTCAGGATTTCATGCTGGAGGTGGGAGACAGGGACTTGAAACTGAATGCAGGTCTCCCACTTTCTGGATGGATGCTCTAATCACCAAGTTCTTTTATGACAAGAGGCAGAAACTACCCTTGGCCACATTTCAAGAATGGTTCCTTCTCAATTTTCACAAGAAATAGCTTAAGCACATACTTTCAAGGGAGGGTTCTTGGCTGTGAATCTGAAGCAGAGTTTGGTACTTAAGTCCTACAGAAAGATGGGATTTAAAAATACCCCTGTCCCCTCAGTATTTCCTACCAGCCAGCTCTTAGCAGCTTCTAGGCTGTTCACTAGTCTTCGTGGATCCCATCCTGAAGCACCTAACTCCTGCCATACACTGCATGGGCTCTGGATTCCACTCTGGGGCCCAAGAACCTAGACATTAGGTGTTGTAGTGCACCAGTCCCTTTCCTGATCTAGATCTACAAGGTTACATAGAAAACTGATGACAGAAGAGGAACCTGAACCCATTCTTTCAACTCCTAAGCCTGTGCCACAATCAGCCATAATTCTTCCTCTCTTGGATAACACTGATAAGACAAGTGGCAAAGGCCTGTGCTTTCACAGCAAAGATACCCAATGCCATAGAGAGAGGTAGTTATCTGTGCTAGGCAGAAGGCAGGCTAGACGGCATCTGATGAAGTAAGCCCTCTGCTTACAAAAGCTTATACTATACATCTGTAATTTAATTTATAAAGATGCAAATCTACCCTGCCTCAGTATTTACAGTTTTATACTAAAGAAGTGAATTAAGTGTAGCCACTAAAAAGAAGAACATATTTTGATGCACTATAGCAATACTAGTGCACAGTGAATTGGAGGGGAGGAAGCTTTAATTTTTTCCACATGGACAAAACAGTTACCAATTATGTGTATTAGTACACAAGATACTCTTTGCTCAGTATAATTTTAAATAGCATTGATACAAGCATGCATTGCATTTTAGCAGGGAAAGGTAACTGTTCTGTGGAACAGATCTACCATGATAAGACTATACTCTAATTTGATTACAATAATTTGTTCCTTTGACACTATTTCTTATTTCATTATAGTTCGTCCTGCTCATTGCGCTCACGAGAAGAGACCCATCGATTTACAATTAATTCCTGAAATAAAACAACATCAATTATTACAAAAACAATTGATAACAACTGAAGCCATCTCCCAGTGGCCAGGTCTTTATCTAAAGGAAACATGTATCATCTCCTACAGTGGGAACTGAGGCAGGGATCTTTGGCACTACAAAGGACTTACTTGCAACCACTTTTCTCTCTTCACATCTTTATACTCACTAGCTTTCTGGCCTCCCTGTTCTCATACTTTCCTTTAGGCCCACTATTACTCCTCATGCCTTCAACTTAGCACTAAAGGTTAATTCTGGGACCAGCTGCATCTGTGACCTCCCATGAACTTCTGCAAACTCCGGGGTGCAAAAGAATCTACAATGCTCCAAAATCCATAACGCAGTTTTATGCTTTCCAGAACATAAAGCATGCCAGAGAATGAGCAACAATTTAAGGGTGCTGTTATGATATGATGGCACTCTCACCCCACCAGGGACAGCTCAGTTAGCATACATGAATAAATAATCACATTTGGAAGAAAGTTTACTTACCTGAACTTTAATTCTTTTCATACATTCTGGGGATGACATTTCTTTTTCAGTCATATCAGATGGTTTAATCAAATAGCATAATATAAGCTCCTGTTGGTAGATAAATATGTCTATCTCTGGGTTGGTTGGAGGGCAGGTAGCCCCCTATTTTTTTTCCCCTGCAGCCTTCCTGCCCCCCCACTCCCACAACCTCAGCTCCCCATAACCTCTGCCCCTCACTTTCCACTCCCCACAATCTCTGCCCCTACCCCTACCCACCCCCTACAATCTTCGCCCCTCCCCACCTCTCCCTGCAGTCTCTCTGCCTCTTACCCCTCACCCCATTCCACACAGTGTCTGCCTTTCTCCCCTCCCCTCCCCTTTCTGTCAGACATTGCTTGGGCTCTGTTCACTCCTGGACCAGAGCACATAGAAGAACAGCTCGTGCTGACCACACAGCAACATCAGCACTGCTGAATGGCCAGGCAGGGGACAGAGTTTCCATGTGGTCCATGCCTGAGAGGAAATCTAGCCTAAGCTATCGCCAAGGCACACTTGACAGTAAGCAGGGACATAGGGTCAAAGGAGGCACAGAAACTGCAGAGGGCAGAAGGTAGGCAGCTACTGTGGGTCTGACTCTGACCCCGACTGGGGCTCAGGGTCAGTTGGAGCCAAAGCAGTTGTCTTGCCACCTGCCCCTTCCGCTTGCTACGCAAATCTAAGATGAGGGGCTTTTTTCTCCACGCTGATGGGGGAAAAATACCTCATCTTAGATTTGAGTAAATATAGTAGATATGCTTAAGAGAAAATATATCCACTAATATATCTGGAGTTTGCTGCCATGTGGTAGACATTAGGGCTATGCGAAACGGCAGTGTTTCGATTTGGTTTCAGAATTGGCCGTTTTGGAGGACAGTGATTCATTTTGGTGTTTTGGATAACCATCTTGTTTCATTTCAGCCCAATCTCCTCCGAATCTGTTTTGAATGGGCTGCAAGCTTTGCACAGTCCTACTGCCCAGCCAGGCAGGGCTTGGGGCTGGGGCTTCAGGGTCCCAGCAGGATAGGGCTGTGGATGACTCGTTCGGGGGAGAGTCGCTGCCCTCCGTGCAGGCGAGGAGACCCTGGCATGGATCTCTGATCCCTGTCATGCCAGGTCGTAGGGCAGGGAAGCAGCGCAGAGCAGCGAGCAAGCCTGCTGGTCCCTGCTGCATGACTCAGCTCCGCAGGGAGCAGAGATCCATGCTGGGGGTCTCCTCGTGCCACTGCCCGCCCCTGCTGCCCAGTGACATGCAGCTGTGTGGGCAACGGCGGTGAGGAGACCCTGGCATGGATCTCTGCTCCCTGCGGAGCCAGGTCACGCAACAAGGACCAGCGCTGCCCTGCTGCGCGACCTGGCTCTGCAGGCAGCAGAGATCCACGCCAGGGGTCTCCTTGCTGCTGCTGCTTGCCCCAGATCTCCGCTCCCTGCAGAGCCAGGTCATGTGGCAGGAACCAGCACTGTCCTGCCATATAACCTGGCTCCGCAGGGAGCAGAGATCTGTGCTGGGGGTCTCCTTACCGCTGCTGCCCACCCTGTGCAGCCCTGCGTCTCCGGAGCAATATGGGGTGGGCAGCAGCCGCGAGGAGACCCTCAGCATGGATTTCTGCTCCCTGCAGAGCCATGTCACGTGGCAGGGCAACAGCATACATCTGTTTCCCTGCAAGCCCAGTTCCAAAATTCCAAAATTTTCCAAAACATTTCCGAAACATTTTGGATGCTTTGTTTCATTTTGGAGATGTTTTGGGGCCTTCCCTTTCATTTCAGATTCGGTTGATGATTGGCAAAGTACCATTTTTTACATAGCTAATCATGAACTTCTGGAAGCCAAAGTGTCCAAAATATTTTTCTTTTTTGCGCACATGGGTTGGAATAAGGCTTGGGAACGGTGACTAGGAATATCCCTCCAAGATGAATTTGGAGTAGCCCCTTCCGAAATGTGTCAACATTAGTCCTGATAGGAAAGGGTATGTTCACCTGACAGCAGCACTGTCCTGTGCTTCTCAGCCTAGGGAAGACGCATGCTGAAGTTCCAAACTCTGTTTGTCTAACACCACTCTTCCATAGTAGATTTTAAATTATTACATTTATCATTGAAAACTATTGCCAGAAACAGAATAAATATCCCATGTTACCTTAGACACGTTGGTAGTTGTTCTATTCAATCCAGACAAAGACTTCCAACTAAATGGTCTGCGCAGTGACCCTTTGAAGTCATCATTAACTAATTCAGCCATGACAGAATAACTAGAAAATAAACCCAATGGATCTCTAACTAAAAGAAATTATGATCACTTTAATATGTGGTTACAGGTTACATTTACTAATAGTAAATGAGTGGGACATAGACAAGTCATGAAACCAATGGGATCTTTCCATCAGACAAGCAGGATGTATTGGAGAGACCACTTATCAGTTATGGGCTTTCTTCCCCAAATCACATGGAAAATCCCTAAAAAAAGGGATATTGTTATCAAGATCAAATTACTTCTCTTGATTGCACTTGGTATACATGATAGTTATTTGTTTCCTTCATTTAAATTCTATATCCTTTTCTATGAACTCAAATTAAAATGACATGCTTATTAAAAATGTTTACCATGCATTCTAAGCAACCATTCCTGGCAAGATTTTTGTGGGGGTGGAGAGTGGGAGATGACAGAGCTAAGGTTAGAAGAAACATGCCAGGAGAATATCTGCACTGGGTAAGTACATCAACATGAAATAGGGAAGATTAATTCACTGGAACAAAGAAACATTAATGCACATCAGTGAAATGGGAGATACATTTTTTATATGAAAAACTATGGAGCTCCAAACCTTGCATGGTAAAAGGGAGGGCCTTTTCGATACAGCACTGCAATAAAAAAAGAAATATATTATTAGTCAAAGGATCATGGGGTCCCCAATTCTGTCTCAGTACCAGGGTTCACTTTTTAAAGAAACATTTCATAAATCTTAATTACATTACTAAACTTCAAAACTTTTAACTCCACTTACAGCGAAGCTGTCCTAGAGGTAGCAGAGGAGAGAAAAAGGGTTTGAGTAAGAGGAAGGGTTACAATAAGAGCAAGAAAAGAACAGCAAAACAGATGGAAACTGCTGTAGGGGAGAAGGATTAAGAGGCCAAAAGTAAAAGGTTAACATTGACAAAGTTGTTTGAGCCACTGGAGTATTACACACAGAACTAACCAAGAGTTGTCTAACTACTTTACTTTTCCCGTCTGTAAGGGAAACACTTTCTGTTTCTTAGAAAGCCCAAATGCTATGGAACTACTGCAGTTCCACCCTGCAGGGCAGATGACAAAGGTAAAGAGCAAAGACTGGTGGTTCTATCAGTCTCATTCTTTCCATTTCTCTGATAAAAAAGGTCCGCTTAATAAAGCCACAACTGGGTTAAGGTAACTTCCGGAGGCTGACTGCACAGTATCTCTCCACTCTGGCTACAGGCCTCAGGGAGCGAGAGATGTCTGGTCCCCAACCACTATGGAGTCTTCTGTGTACAACCTGCTTAACCAGCCTTTGGGAGGGAGTAGACAGGCAGCATCTCACTCTCATTGTAACAGTGGTTTGTAAATTAGTCATAAATAATTAACAAATATACCAGCTTGTTATTTAAACAAGCTACTTCAGAAACAGAGGAGCAAGGATGAACGTTTCTAAGTATTCAGCTAAAGATATTAACTGGGCGGTACACATCAAGAGTCAATGCCACAAAAACCGAAACATTTAGACCAGTAGATAAATCCTATGCCAATCCCTCATCTACTACTTGGGATATTTTAGTGAAGAAACTGAATTCTGGGGCAGCTTCTGTACTGTGAAAACCATGCCTTTAAGAGTTATACAGTAACGTCACGAAGAGAAGCTTTTGCTATTTATACAGCATTTTTTTTGTCATAAAGCATGCATCATTGTATCATCAGTTCTTTCTGACTGCATAAAAATGTTGTAATCAAGAAATTAAAAATTAGCACAATAGTCAAGTTATTTACTACGGGAACACAGAAATCATGGAGAAGTAAGGTTGGAAGAGACTTCAAGAGATCATTTAGTCCAACCAGGGATCAAACTTCCAATCTTGGTCTTATTAGCACCATACCCAACTAAGCTATGTAGCCTCACATCTGGGGATACTACTGAATATTGGAATTTGTAAGAGATAAAAAAGCTATCTTAAACTAAACCAAAAATAGGTAATATTAACTAGAGGTGCACTGATACATTGGTCCATATCATATCGGCACCAATAAAAGGAAAATAGACATTATTGTCAATTGGCTTTTTTTGGCTGATGTGGCTATGATGTTGCTGATAAATGCCACATACATTTCTGCAGCCACAGAATGCACAGCCAGCTTAGCAGCCTCCAGCTGGTAAGTCTGTTGGGGGGGAGGGAAGGGGTGTGATGGGGGCAGACTGACGCCACCATGGTAAGGGAGCGGGTGGGGCTGGGGCT